AACCATCTGTAACTAATGAACTTTGAGCAACAATCATGTGTTGCTATTGTAAAACCGAACAGCAACCATCTGTAACTAATGAACTTTGAGCAACAATCATGTGTTGCTATTGTAAAACCGAACAGCAACCATCTGTAACTAATGAACATTGAGCAACAATCATGTGTTGCTATTGTAAAACTGAACAGCAACCATCTGTAACTAATAAAAAATGAAGAACAATCATGTGTTGCTATTGGAACAGCAACTAACTGTAACTAATATAACATTGAACAAATATCATCTGTTATATGTTAATCATATAATACTTCTAATGTGACATCATCTGATGGTTATATGTGTTATTTATGTAACAGCAGGCAATAATCATGTTACTAATGTAACATGGGGCAAAAATAATTTGTTGCTATTGGAACAGCAACCAATTGTAACTAATGTGACACTGAGCAAATATCATCTGTTATATGTTAATCATATAATATTTCTAATGTGACATCATCTGATGGTTATATGTGTTATTTATGTAACAGCAGGCAATAATCATGTTACTAATGTAACATGGGGCAAAAATCATTTTTCATTAATTCGATAGGGACTGATAATTGATTTTTACGAATATAAAATAATCGTTGATAAACTGTAGCTATGGTAACAACGATTGTCATTAACTACCGTAAAAAAACAACAAAAACCCATGCACTGCTTAAGCAACAGTAAGTAAAAATAATATTTTGCAATTGTAACCAGTGAGAAAAAACGTATAATTATCTTGCATTTCTTAATACTTATCCGGCTAAATACTGCGTACAAAAGTAATTCATATATATATTAAACAAGAGAAGATTATATATTGCTAAGAAATAGTCTCGGTTTTGTGCTTTATGGTCTAAATAACACGGAAGCAAGATTTGTTTCGTATTAGTGAAATGACTTCACGATTAGATAAGACCTAAGTAGTAACGTGGTAACCTAACGTGGTAGTTTCTGTTAAGAGTTATGTAGATGTATGGTAACAAACCCCACAAGGAAGTCTACGAAGTCCTCTGGAGAAGAACACTGATCTGCTAAAGACAAGGTTAACGTTCAGGCCATGAAAATTTGACAACATGCGTGACGAGGAAATAACAGCTTGAGGAAATATCTTAGTCAACAGTGTATACTAGATAATAGCATTAGTTCAAGAGGCTGGTAAATACACAAAGGGTATAAAGAAGATATTAGTCGCTTAAAAAGTTTTGTCCGAAAGTACATGAGTAAGAGGATATTGGCACGTTTTTAAGACAATTTTACATTCGAATTTCACCTTTTCTTCTTGTTATTGTGATTACCAGGTGGTTAGAGTGCACGACTCGCAATCTGCGGGTTCGAATCTCCGCCCCACCAAACATGCTCGCCCTTTCAGCCGTGGGGGCGTTATAATGTGACGGTAAATCCCACTATTCGTTGGTAAAAGAATAGCCCAAGAGTTGATGATGATTATCTGCCTCCCTCTAGTCTTACACTGCTAAATTATGGACGGCTAGCGCAGGTAGCCCTCGTGTAGCTTTGCGCGAAATCCATAACAGATCAAAATTGTTACTTTGATTTTACAAACGTCAGTAACAGAATCATTCCATCTATGTTTTTAACAGATGCACGTTAAGCCTTCCTAACTCCTTTTTGTATGTGTGTGTAGAAGGTCGTATATTTAGTACACAAACAAACATATGTGTGGATATATGGAAGGAGAGAGAAAAAGGGTTGAATTTAATGGATGCGATTGTCATAACATATGCTAAGCGCAAATGTAGAATTATCAGTAATTGCTTATTTATAAGGGCGTTTCCTCAATATATTTATAACTTTTTATTTCTCTCAGTTTCAGACATTAATTATTCTGTGTCATCTAATTTTATGTCCCTGAAATGACATGTTTATACATTGTTGGTCAGTGAAGCTTCGAATGGATTTCCATAACAATCAAAGTCTTCTACCAGAGGGCGTTTGGGTACAACAAATAAAATTCTGCATTTCTGTTATTTCACACCCACATAAATAAATGAATATATATATAGAATATCTTTATTTTCCATTTAATATACACCTATGTTCTTTTTTCTAATAACTATATATGTATATGCACATTGTTTACCATATGTTGCAGGTATATTGTGCTGGTAGCGTCTCTACTCACTGTAGGACAACCCGGAATAATCTTTCCTGTGCAGAGGCATACACCCTTGAATCCAGAATACTCTCCTAACTGCGCCCTGGTAGTTCGGACTTTCAAAAGAAAATTACATTTCACGGATTATAATGGTCTACAGTATATATCTAACTTTGTGCCTAAGTAAGTATATACCTTTATAACGTAGCTAGGTTGTAAGATGGTTTACGAATTTCAAATCAAAGAAGACAACTTAAAAAAATCATATTCATATATCATTATTTCTGTTTGAATATTTAGTACTTCATTTCCTAATTTTTTGTCAAAATTATAAGGCACTAATTTTTTGAATGTCATCCTAGAAAAGAAATCAAGCATAAATTTCACTAAACTCAAAAACTCAGACTGTTAACGGATTTGAATCAGAAGACTATCAACATGCACTGTGAAAGACGATTAGTGTATGAAGATTAAAAACATGTTATATTTTTTATCCTAAAACTTTTTAGTCGTATAATAGCTCACGATGACGTTTATTCTTCGTGCAGAAGGTTTTAACATGATGTTATTGTTAAAACGTAAAAGATACATTTGATTTACAAATTGATATAAGTAAAATACTTTGTTGCTTATGAGTGTTATTATAATTAAGATGGTCAAAATTGTTCTTTACAAATTCGCTACTGTCACTTTTTATCCTTTTTACCATCAGGTTCTTATGAATGAAACTGAACCCTGTTCTTTAAGTACTCAATTTCACAGAATAATGAACAATGAGGTTGCTGGCTTTATTGGTTTTTGTGTTTTAATTTTTTCTAAGATACAAAAAGAAAAGTGGTCTTTCATAGAACATTTAATAACAGTTTATATGTTTGTTTTAAGTATATCTTGATTTTCTGTTTAGCACAAGTAATATGTTTTAAAGTATTTTTCTCAAAGTCATAAAAACAACACATGATGTATAAATGAACGGTCGAATGAACAAGTCATGAGAAAATAAGCATAAAGTGTTTAAACGTGCAGAATATGCTAGTATGCCTATATTATACTCAAATACAATACAGTTTAAGCTGCATAGATTAAAATAGGACAACGCACAAATTCATATCACTGCGAATAGAAGTATAGCTAAGTATAAACTTATCATCAATTACACAGTAATGTGCTTCCTAAAATAAACAATGCGTCTATATACTGAACACAATATAACATTTCAGTTGTCTTGCACAAAATTGACATTAACTCCTTTTAATTCCTTCAGTTTTACCCTTTTATTCTGCTGTCTCAACTAATCTCCCCCATCTCCCTAGTTACATGAGTATACATCATTGGTAAAGTAAACCACCATAACTCCCTAGTTACATGTTTATACGTTGTTGGTAAATTAAACCACCATAACTCCCTAGTTACATGTTTATACGTTGTTGGTAAATTAAGCCTCCATAACCCTCTAGTTACATGTTTATACGTTGTTGGTAAATTAAGCCTCCATAACCCTCTAGTTACATGTTTATACATTATTGGTAAATTAAGCCTCGATAACCCCTCTAGTTACATGAGTATACATCATTGGTAAAGTAAACCACCATAACTCCCTCGTTACATGTTTATACATTGTTGGTAAATAAAACCACCATAACTCCCTAGTTACATGATTATACATTGTTGGTAAATA